GGGTGGAGGGTGCGTGTCACAGGTGAAAGTGATGGGCGGTGGTGGGGTTGCTTTGGGTTTGGAGGGTAAATACCTCTATGTCAGGCATCTGAAGTTACCAGAGGGTAACTATTCCAGAGGGGACCTCCAAAGTGCTGCCATTGTGGCTGTGACTAAGTAGCAGTAAGAGTTTTACTTCTTACTGCCGGGGAGGCATCCAAAGTGTTGTAACAGAGCAACATCTTGGCTACTCCATGGAGGCCAAGACTTTCTACCTGCCTGGTTTTGGCCTTTTTCCTGCCAGGCATATGTCCCTCTGCCTGTCCACTGCATTTGCACTCAGACATTGGCTGGGGGTGTTGGCTGGTGGGGGTCAGCACGCTGCAGAGGAACACGCTCTGTCACGTCCAGAACGATGCGCTTGCTCTCATCGCATGGATATGCATCAACGTGTCACTTTAAAGTAGTGCAAGTAAGAGATGTGGGAGAACAGATGAGGAGAAGGGAGGCAGGAAACATGTCATAAATCCACAGTGAGAGGGACTCTGAAGTAAGAGAATTAAAGACTCTGGAAAACACATAAAAATCTGCTGTAGAAAGGGCACTGTCAATGCATCCTGTCAGTGCAGTTTGGTTTTTACTTCCTAGTGTGCAATATGATATAAAAAACGTTCACCTTTACTAGATGATCCATGGAAGCCCGTATTTCACATGAGATTTATTTTTCATGTGAATAGGCTTGGTGTTTCCAGACACTGGTGGATATCGGTCACCATCCTATAAAATGAGGCCACCAGCACCTGTGGTCTCCCAGGGACTGTCTCTTCCAAGTGCTGCTCCTCACACAAGGGCCACTTCATTGTTTCTGTTTTGTGTTTAAGTAGAGCTGAACTGAGGAATGTGGAGTTGAATAAAAATAATGGAAAAAGATCAGACTGAAATTATTGCCCTCCCCCCCAAAAAAATCCCACTTGTGCAATCATCAGATATGTGAGCTTTGTGCTTTCTCATATTCCTATTGTAAAAATAGAAAAAAACCTTGAACCCACTCAAGTATTACAGAGGGTCTCAAATACTACAAAGAGTTTCTGTAGACATATGTCCCACCGTAGGAATTTGAAATTCCCTCAGTACCCAGAATATTAAGCATTCTGGGGCCTGTACTTGTAGATCAAGATTTGTGAGAAAGGAACATCCTGGCTTGCCTAAAATGACTGATGAAAAGAAAAATTGCCGGTGCAGCAACCACTAGCCTCTCTGGCAGCTAACTATTCTCATTCAGCCATCCCCACAACCTTCACAGGACATGTTCAACAGGAGCAAAAGGCCTCCAGGCTCTGTATGAAAGAATCAGTGATGCTAATGAACAATGAGGAGGAGGCTTTACACTGTGTAACCCACTTTAGGCATTATGAAAATTAATTTCTTTTCAAAAGTGTATGAACTGGGACATCCCAGGCTGAGTGGAGGACCTCCTTCCCTACTTCCTTCCTTTGCCACTCTCTGTACCTCCTTTTCTTTTTCCTTGGCCACACTGCTTAGTAGCAAGGACACATTCCAGTAATTTTGCTGGCACCCGATTGTGACGGGTCTATTGCAAGGCAATCCTCTATCTTCATGGTATTCCTACAGACTGAAGTGCTGTGCCATGGGGATGTAGATAAGGAAGAGACCATTGCACCAGGACTTCCCTGTGGGGACCCACGAGCCAGACGAGCGCATTGCTCCCTTCCCTCAGCCACCCATCTTACTTTAATTTTTTCCTTCCAGCACAGCTTGAGAGCTATTGCTGCTGAGACTGCATTTTCATTTCTTCTCTTTCATTGCTACTCTGTGCTTAATGTATTAGTGGTGTGAAGTAGAGAGGAAGGAAACAGAGGGGAAGCACAAGGAGCAAAGTAAACATCTTCAGGGAGGTAAAGACTGCACAGAGAAACACTCACTCACCCTTTTTAGACAGGGATTTTACATGCTTCAGCTTTGCATGACAGTCCTGTGTGCAGGTTTACCCTCCCAGGCTGTGTCAGTAGCCACAGGGATTGCAGAGCCCTATGAGTCAGGGTCCCACACACTCATCCTTTATCATGCCAGGCCGTGTGGGACCTGCTTTCAGCTGTGAGGCATTTGAAAAGTATGGGCACTCTGTCTTTTCCCCAGTGGTGGGGTTTTTGGAGGAGCAGTTTTCTGCATGCTATGGCTCAGATCCCGCCAGTAGATAAGACTACTTTGTCTTACAGCCTTCTGGGTGCAGAGGTGATGTCCATCCCACACAGCCCTAAGGTGCTGTGAGAGCAGGCAGGGCATAACAAACCCCACTGTTATTTGCCAGACTCCCAAAGTCACAATGTCTGTGTGTGCAGAAGGACCCACAGAGTCTCTAGCCTCTGTTGTGATGAAGGGCAAGGTCAAGCTGAAGCTTCCTTTGGGAGAGCCAGCAACCCCATGAGCCCCAGCCTGGCTGAGGACACATGGCACAACCCCACAAAGCCCTCTCACTGCTTGTCCAGGAAGTCTGTGTTCCTCTGCAGAGCAGATGCATGACAACTGATGGAGAACAATGATATCATTTATTTGCCTATTAACCAGGGAAGTGGGTAACTTTAGTGACCATCAGCAGAACAGCCAGGTACAGGGTGGGTCACTGTTAGGGAGCTTTGTGTCTGTGGCTTTACTCAGGTTCATTCTGCATTTCCTTCTCATTATTGTACAGCCACTCTGGGTGGGGGCTCAAAGTGACTTACTCCTTTGCTAAAACTAGAACCATCTTCAAGTGCTGCTCTGACCCCTCCTAGCTGCTGCCAGTGCCTGGCTAGTCCTGTGATGTTGAGAGAGCCCTATTTTTGCTTCATCACAGCTGGAGGCCCCACTAGCAGCATCAACACTTCTAAAATTTATCATAGCCTTGAGCTGGAGGCATAAGCCATCACTGGCTTATTTCGTGGTTCCTCTAACCTCTGCATTTTGCAATGGCTACAGAAGTGTGTCTGCTTCAGTGTTTTCTGAACTAGCTGCGCTTCATCCATGGGAGAGAAGCAGGAGATCTCACATGCAGACGGTGTCTTCCCGGAATCTTAACAGCTGCTCAGCCCAGATTTCACCCTGATTTTTTTTCTTCAGCTTTGATGACCTGACTGTCAAGTAGCAGTGTGTTGCTGTGCTTTGGAGAGGAGCACCCACCGAGTCCTGTGTACGGAGGCCTTAGGGGCTGCAATGGGCACCAGCAGCACCACCACTTGACATGGGCTGGCCCCTGCCTGGTGCAACTTGGTCCAGTTGGCTGTGCTCTGGGAGGGCAGAAATCAGCCCAGGACCCTGGATGTGAGCTGGCTGTGGGGCAGTGCATGGGGAGGCACAAGGCAAAGAGCTGAGGTGGAAAGCACAGCCTCGGTGGATGAACATGGCTGAAAGATGAAGATACCCAGTGAAACAGCCATGGGAGTTACAGATGGAAAGAGGGGATGGTCTGGTGCAGGAACAACAGTACAGAGCCTCTGGGGACACAGGGACAGTGGCCCACCAGGATGCCCAGCATAGTAAGCAGCCATGGAGAGTTCCTCATGTTGCCACAGGCCAAGTGACACAAGCCACATAAGAAAAAAATTTTCTTTTGGAAGCAAGTGCAAAAATAAGTGTTTCCACCACTGGCCCAACTGAGCTACCCCAGGGCACCATACAGCTTTTTGGTTAAAATGTGCACGAAACAGAACATGCCATTGTCCTTACATATGCATGCCCAGTCTGTGGCTCCAGTGCAAGAAGGGCTGTGGGAAGCACAGGAGGGGTTAAGCTGTGCAGCTCCAAACACACTGCATCCTCAGAAACCGGCAGGAGGAGTGGGGGGGACCTGCTCCCTTGTGAGGCTGGAGCAGCTGTACTGAGGGTCCCGCAAGGGTCCCGTGGGATGGGGGCTGTTTGCTGACTGCCGCCCCCAGCCCCTTGGCACGCAGCCCAGCACAAGACATATAAACCAAAGAAGCATAAACAGATGATCACATGAAAAATATATCATGATTAGCCAGATAGATCCCAAATGTTTGTTCTATAAACTGCAGCAGGCAGCACAAGTGTTCACTGCAGCTGTAGTTTCTCATCTTATTTGTGTAAGTGTGCCATTAAGCTTAGACATGGGCAAAATAATCTTTCATTGATTCTCATTTAAGAAGCTGCTTTAAAGATATATTATATCAATGTTTGATTCAACCCTTTTGCAACTGGTATTATATCGTAAACTGCTTCTTGCTTAATAGAAAATCTTTGTGCATTTTTTCTCCTGGGTCACTTCCTTTTCTCTCTGAAGCCAGTAAAGTGGTTTGTTTTGTGAATGAAAGCTGGATGCCTTTAGCAGGATGGCATTAACACTGACCTCTGCTCATGCATTGAATTCCTGCCCAGTGGGAGGCGAGTTGGAGGAAAGGGTTAGTTCATTGATGGTCAGAACCTGCTGAGAGCAAGACTGTTAACCTGCCTGGAAAGGGAACTGCTTAGAGGGCTTTTCCCTTTCTTGGATTAGCCCAATGAAGCCATCCTTCTCTCCCTTTAGTTTTAACCATCTGCTGGAAAGATGGTTCTGATTCATCTCAGCTTGGTAGAGATTATTTTTGTATATATAAAATGGCAGTAAATTGGGGTGTGGGGTGTGGAGGAGGTATACACTTTAATTTTCCTGTTGCTACTTCCTGTATCCGAGAAGGCTATCTGAATTTCACAGCATGAAATATTTAGCAAGGACAATGCAAAGAAATCAAAACCAAACTCCTTCAGGCATTTCCCAAGAAATTTAGCATGGTTTATGCCCCTTGGATCTTAAAATGCATGCTGTAAAAAGGGTAAGCAGGAAAAGAAAAATTTTGTGAAGCTGATTGCCAACAGCATCTTCTGACAACTAGTGCATGAAAGTTGTTCCGAGGGAGACTGGTCTATAATTTATAATGAAAAAGTATTGTGCAAAAATAGCAACTTTTCATTGGATAGTTTTATCTGCTGACTATGGTGATAAAACCTGTGCTCTGCTTTATTTAGAGCTGGAGGGGACACAGAAGGCAAGTCAAAACCCAGAAGGTTCACACAGCAAAACTGTAAGTTTTTCTTTCCTTTTGGTCTTCTTTGTCCTTCAGAGCCAAGGGAACATTTGGAGAATCAGCTGCATCTGTGCTCCTTTTTACACAATCAGCAGATTAACTAATTAACTAATCCTTCTTTTCTTCCCTGTCACTTTGACTACCAAATAGCTTCAGGTGTAGGTGGAGGAGCGACTGTCCTGAAAGAAGGGTGCATAGACCAAGTCAAAGTTTGGCCATAGCAATTAGAAACATCTTATTTTAGTTCTCCCACCCATGTCAATCAAGAAGAAACTCATTGAAGCACCAAGAAGAAATCCGTTAAAGTCAGTGGGATTGCGCTGGCACGAGATTGCTTTCATTGAGATTAGGGTCTAACTTTGGTGTCTGTTTTATTTGTAAATTGAGCAGATAGAAGCCACTGGGAGATCATTAAATCGGAACTCAGAAATTTTCATTTCCACTTGGTTTTTTTGAGTAAAACCATACTTTGTTATCCTTGCAGAGTCTACAAGGACTAGTTTGAACTACTCTCACCAGCTAAGACAACACTTCTTCTCTATAAGGTGAGAACATTGAATAAAGCTCATCGATGTAGTTGTTTCTTTTCTTTTAATTCACCTCCTGACCTTTTAAAATTACTTTACTCAACAAAGGACAATAGGGCCAATCCAACTCCCATTAAAGTCAGCAGGAGTCTTTTCATTAACTTCAGCTGAAGTTGGGCTGGGCCCAATAAGACTAACTTTAAGAGTAAAAAATAGCAACTCATATAGAGCTTTATCTTGCCCCCTGTGGCTTGATAACTGACCTCCCATCATGTTCACTGGGACAGGACCAGGCTTATAAAGCCAAGTAAAACTATTACAGGCCTAATCCTGTAACCCAAAGATTATAAAGTATTTGAATTTCCTCTTTTTAATCATGCTGGAATATTTGAGAACTATCCATGACTTTATGAATAGTGAGGAGCTTCCAGCTGAACAGATTGGATTTGTCTTTGCAGAGTCTACAAGGGCTTTATGCCCCAGAATTTTCTGGTTTTAAAACAGGAAGATGACAGGGGTAAGAGGCTGAAAAGATAACCTCATGTAACTCCTTCATTCTTTGGTACTTATTTTGCTCCATCTTCCTACACAAGCACCATTCTACTTCCTTGCCAGGTCATCCCAGCTCAAATCCTCTGCACCATTTGCTTTCCCAGAAGAAAGTGCCACTGGTCTTCGCTACCTGCTTGTCCTAGATGGAGCAGAGCAGCATCCAGAGGGGTTAAGCTGGGGCAGGGTTGCCATGTGGATGCCTCATGGTCTAATGGGAGCAGGCAGACTGGATTTTGTTCTTTGTTACACTTTTGCCCCAAGACGTTCAACATTTGCTTTCTAATTAATGCTTAGATATACTGCAACACAGGGAAAGTTCCAGCAACTCACAAACTCTCAGCCTATTATGTGGATTTTGCTCTGGATGTGACACAAAGCTGATTTTTTTTTCTCTTTATTGGTTTTTCATTTTGCTCTTTCCCTCTCTCTTTCTAATTGCCTTACAATGAATCTAATGGAAAACTCTGTATCAAACACACTGATTTGTTTCACCACCAAGAGAAGAAAGGTCATTTGGCAACTCTTTGAACTGTTGTAAAAAGCCCACCTACTTGGTAGGTTCTTGTATGTTTTATTCTGGAGACTCTAGATCACAAATTTTGTTTTTGTTAAAAATTAATGTACTCACTGCCATCTGTGGAGAGAATGTTCCGAAGTCAGAAACGTACCCTGCCATCAGAATAACTTGTAGCAGCCACCCAGGGAAAGGTGGGCTTGGTGACGCAGCCACGCTGCGAGGCAGGTCGCAGAGCCGCAGCAAATGCTGTTCTACCCTCAGCTCTGTGTCACAAACCCTTCTCCTGTTTCAGCAGAATCTAAATTTATGCAGTCCTTTAAATATAGACACAGAGTGTATTAGAAAGAGCTCTCAGATATCCTCAGCTTCTCCATGCACCAAGAGGAAGAGCCCCTGTGACTCCTGACACCATCAGCCCTGGTATTCTCTGCGCTCACCCAAATGCACTGCAAGCATCAACATCAGTCACTTCAAAGAGCTCTTTCATGTACCACAAACTTTTTTATCCAGAAGGCCCAAGCAAAAGGCAGATCTGGCTGTGTCTGGCTTTATTTGGCTTGCCACTTGTGTGGCCCCTTGGAAAGGTCTCAGAAGAGTGAACAAACTTTCCATGCATTTTCAGCAGCAAGTACAAGATACAAAGCTTTTTCTGTCACTTGTTGTTAGCAGTACAAGGTAATTAATGGCTTTGTGTTGCTCTCTGGTGTGTTCATGCTGCTGAGGGAAGAGTCCCTCCCCCACCTACACTGCAGAGTCCAGTTCCCTCATTAGACAGTGCCTGGAGATGGGTAGATTCCATTCCATTCCTCTCTGCTGAGGCTCCTGCTCACATCTCAGGAGGGAGCCTGCCCACCATGCCAGACGAGGCTGCACTCATGGCACACTCATGGCACTCAGAAAGCAGCAGGGACTGTGCCCAATTTCACCATAGTGCGGTTGTTCTGGGAAGCCACGTGCAGAGAGTCAGCTCTTCTGGGATCAATGTTTTGATGAGGACAGCACAATCCCATTTCAGGAGTGTGTAGGGAAGCCTGGTGAGATGTGCACACCTGTCCCACCAACTCACCCTCCCCATTCCTGTGGGTGCTCATGAAGTGAGGACTTCTGCTCTCCAGTCCTTCTGATACCCTATGCAGCAGCTGAAGGAGCTAACCCAGCAGTGCCCCTTTTGGGGAAAAATGTGATTTTGCACATCTCAGATGAAGCAGACTCACAGGAACCTGTCTGCACCACACAGAAAATCCTGTTGTCAGATCCTTACTGGTGATAAATTGTGTTTGACAATGTTCAACATTGTAAGTCTTTTCTGCACTATTCTTACTAACTTTATACAACAGGCACCTAACTTCAGGGCCTTCATCACTCCCTCTTAGCTCTTCTGTCATCTAGTTCACTCTTTGAAAAAGCCCTTGCTCTCTCCTAAGAACAGAGAAAACCCACCAGAAACAGACATCTGATTTGGAGGGTTAGGTGCCAAAAATCAGTTGAGATAAACCATTTCAAAAATTTCTCATTAGGCTTTTCCCCAGCCATTTAGTCTCCTGTGAACGGGAGATCTGATTGAAGATAATAGCTCACTTCCTTCGGAATCTTCTGATGAATTCATGAGAGCTGTTGCCATTACTTATCATTCAAGTGGCACCTAAAGCAACAGTTGTTCTTAGTGATTTATGTAGATGCAAATATTCTGGTAAATTCTCTGGAATCTCTGTGGGGGAGACAAGCCAGATTCTGCACTCTCTTGTTCACTAGAAGCCAGGAGAGAGGGGAGTACACATTCCAGATTTGCTGCATATACCTTTGTTGGCCAAACGGGTCATACAGCCAACAGCCTGTTCCATGCTTTATCCTGCTTTTGTAGCCAAATGAGAATGGCAAGGCATTTAGCAGGAGTTGTATTTTTCTCTCTTGATTCTTATTACAAAGTTTGATGTGTTTTGTTTATATGCTCAGAGAACAGAGGCTGATTCTCTTCATTTGTGCAATTGCTTGGGTATAGCTGGCAAGAAAGTTTGTTTTTCTCAATTAGAAAGCAATTGTCTGTAGCCAGTAACATATAAAAGACTTCTGGTACAGTTGTATCCATTTCTCTGTTCTTTGAATATTAAGCAAAAAGTAGAAGCTGATTCCCTAGAGGGTATCATACTCTCTGCTGCTGCAGACTGTTGTGTACTTACTAAATATATTGATTTTCTTTGGACCCTATTTTTTTTCTTTTTTTTTTTTTTTTAATATAGATTTAATGTGCCTACATATTTCTAAAATACTCAAAGGTGGAACAACCACAAATGTATAATTAATGAATTGTTCTACAGGAGTTACCAGGGCCTTGGGTGGAAAACATAAAAACATCAAATATATTGATTTTCTTTGGACCCTTTTTTTTTCCTTTTTTTTTTTTTTAATATGGATTGAATGTGCCTGCATATTTCTAAAATACTCAAAGGTGGAACTGTGCCTACATATTTCTAAAATACTCAAAGGTGGAACAACCACAAATGTATAATTAATGAATTGTTCTACAGGAGTTACCAGGGCCTTGGGTGGAAAACATAAAAACATATCCCTCCTGCTCTGGGCATGCCATCTAGTATATTTTCATTAAGTTACATGATATTAATGTTTTCAGGAATCACTTGTGTTCTTCCACTCTGCCTGCCAGAAGTGTTGCCCAAATCCATTCCCTATTTAATCGTGAAGGAATGCTGTTCAAAAGATTTGGGGTCAGAAGTGCTCAATAAATCAATCCAGATACACTCCTAATGAGTGGTGAATTAAACAGCATTTGCTTTAGGATCAGAGGTCCTCCTGAGAGATTATTTTTTATTGCTAGCAGGATTGTTCACTTGCAGGTATCAGGAAGCTGTGAGTTAAGGTCTGCTAGGAAGGTCTACAAAAGAATCTGTGTCTTTACTGAATGCATGTGATTATGTCCAGACAACAATGATAAATAGGTGAGACTCATCCTCCACTGGAGTACCCTGTTTCTAAATTAAGGAGGAAGAAAAATTTTGTAGCTTCAGGGGGAATAAAATTACTCTACATTTATACCTCCAGGTTCCTGTCTTGCAGGCCACAAGACAAAAATTTAGAACAAGGAGTGTGAAGAAAACAGCTGAGGTGGAAAAGGGATATTTAGAGTCCACACTGGCCAGCAGGAAAGGCAGCTCACTTGTAAGTACTCCAAGGAGCCTCTGCAAGGCTGGGCAGGACATTTTTCCTGTGGTGGGGAGTGAAGGCTAGAGAGACCAGAGACAGTGCAAAATTTTAGGCAAAATATCTGAAATGGGATGGATGTTGCTTGATGTAATGTTTAGTTTATTTCTAGCCTTCTACGCTTTTGAAAACTGGTGTTTTTTCAGAGCATTAGACAATAACAATTCCAGATTTCTGTCACTCTCAGTTCCTATCACCACCCTCTTCTGCGTAGGTCAACAGGTTCACTTGTGCATGGAGGTAGCAAATGGATATAAAATGTCCCCGTGCAGCCCAAGTGGCATCACCAGGAGCAAGTGAGAGTCCCTGAAAAAGCAGGAGAGGATCAAGTAGCGACGATACCTAAGGAGCTACACTTCAGGTAGGAGAAATTAGAAAACACATGCATATAAGAGGACATGACCATCCATCATCATTCAATATTATCAGGAAAAGTGTAACCAATTCCCTGTCATGTTCAGAGAAACACAGATCCTTTTTCTTTGCACATTTTTATGTTTTTATCACACATTGCTCACTTTGCATCACATAATTTAATGTAATTCCTAGTTTAAACACAGATAGTCTGGCATTGCATTTTTTGTCACAGTACCACATTTGGACACAAATCCCCCATAACACAGTAGTGTAATATACAACCATGGAGGGGAGACACATGGATGAGGTGAATTCCAGGTGAAGGATGTGGATACAAAAATTTGAAATATCCTCTTAAGAAACAAGGGCTTTGAAACCACAGTTTCCACAGAATATTTAGCAATTCATGTTCTGGGACTCAGACTAAAAAGAGATTTTAAAAGAAAGTGAAGGTCAAAACTTGGCATGGTTTTTCTGTGGAAATGCTAACATTTCCAGACAGTTTCTTGTTCCGTTCTGGATTGGAACAAAGCCTACAAAAGTTTTACCTTTCCAGTGGAAATGAAATTCTGAAAATATTTTGTTCTAGGAAGCTCAAAACATTGTTTTTTGCCTTTTCCAAAATCAAAGGCAGCAGATGTGCTCGTGGGGAGGAGAGGCATGGTCTGCTCAGGTAGCTGCCGTGTCTGAAGTCATGTCTGACATGACTCCACAGCATTTCCTGGATGTTTCTATGATGTGTGGAACACAGAAACTCCTCAATCCTGTTCTTTCTTGGGCCTCCAGACTGGCCATCAGCCCTGCTGTGCTGCAGGGCTGGGAGTTGCAACCCCTGAACTGGAGCTGGGCATCATCTGCTGCCAGAGAACACAGCCTGCGAGACTGACAAGGAAACTCCAGCCTGCATATGGCAAAAGTTTCCAGAATTAAAAATATTTTCATGAAACATCTTGGCTTTGACATATGCCATGAATCAATCACCAGTTCCTGACTAGTTAGGAACTATGCAGGTTTGGTGGGTAGTGAAGCACATTATGGGACTTGGACAACACTAGTGGCTCTTCTGCTAGTCAGCAGTGGCAGAACAGTGTTATATCAAAGAGATTCACCTGTGCAGGAAGTAAGAATTAGCTTCAAAAATCCTGTGATGACCCTATGGATGTATACAAGGCCAGGGAATGTCACTGATGGAAGTATGGGTGTGCAACTCGTGTGCAACAGAAGGACTGAAGAGCTGAAACAGTCCAAAGCAGCCACACTAGGGTTTGGGTTATTTATGTTGGTTAGTCATCTACATCTTTTCACTGGTTTAGATCTCACCCCCTTTTGAAAATGGGTTTTGGACTCATAAGTTATCTGGGCACTTTTAATAGTTTTATCTCAAATTAATAACTCTTCCAAGAGTAACTCCAGTATTTGCACATTCCCTATTTTATAGTAGGTATTATTTATCCCCACATATGTCAGTTCAGAAGGACAGACCATTCAGGAAAAGATGTGGCTTATTATATAGCAGTGATGGATGGTTTCTTTATAGAAACCACTTGCATGTGAGAGAACAACTGTTGTGTATTAAATACATTCCCTGTATTATGCATAGAGTTCATACCTGTCATTGAAATAAAATCCAAAAGGGAGGGAAAGAGCAAGAAAGCTTATAAAAGTACATTAAATATCCACATAAATATCAAACAGTACACCATGATTTTTGTTATGACAATGAGCATCTATGGAAGCCATGATGATGCAGTGCTTGAGAAACTTGGCAAATGCACTGGAGTGCCTGGGACGTTTTGTTCCTGTACTGAAGAAGGATGAAAACAGCATATGGAGGGGTTAGTTACTCATAAAACATTAATAGCTGGAGATTTGCCAGATCATTATTATTTTTTTCTGGGAATGGTATTAGGTATTATTCAAGGAGATAAGATTTTCTTTCCGTATGTCCATACCAGTTCAGTATTGGAAGGTGAAACACATACCTTGGGGATTACAGGCCCAGAAAACACCTTTTCCAGGAAAACAATCTGAGTGAATCACTTACAGACAAAAATGTGTTGAAATGTTAAACAAGTGCTGTCTTGATTTAATGATCTTGTTAATTATAAAAAAATAACCACCTCCATGAACATGCAGACAAGTTAAGACTGATATTGTTTTATAGAACTAAGGGAAACAATGAAACTGGGCATATAACCTCAAACTATTCTGAAAACATATAAGGAAAAAAATGGTCCTGTGTTATTCTGTAGAATCAGAATTGTCTTAGCCTTGTGGTTTCTGCTACAGGCCAACTGACAAGGACACAGCTGAGATGATCTTCAGGTGCCAGAGTTGTTTCCAAACCTGGAGCCAGACAGAATTCCTCTGGACATGTCTTGAACCTCAGGGACAGCACAGCTTGGCCACACCCTCAAAATGAGACTCATCCCAGTGTGGAGATTGCCCAAAGACACTCCAAGACATGTGAGCATGTCATTTACAATGCAATTGAAACATTAACCCACCACACAGGCTCTCTGCACGCTTCCTCATCTAGTTGTTTACAATTGTTTTTAGGGTCCTTCACATGGTGAACTTCTTCCCTGAATAATTCCCTGAATTCCCTGAACTTCTTCTACCCACTAAGTGGAAGGAAGGCAGTGGGAGGGTTCTCTTGCCTTCCCTTCTTGAATGGGTTCCCTGCACACACACACACACACACACACACACAGACACACACACACACATACACGTGTGTGTGTGTGTGTGTTTACATACATATCCTCAAAATGGGACTGCGGGATTTAAAAGGGCAAAACCTCGACACTTGCTTCTGCTGACAGGACAGGGAGAAGCATAGGTGAGCTGTGAGAGCTCGAGACAGACCCCTGCCAGCAGCAGAGGAGCACAAGAAGCTGACTGCACCAGCTGAGATTTCGTTGCCAGTTATAATTAAGTAAGGGGAAATTATTTGTTATAAAAATTTGCATTTAAAAGTTGAGAAAAATGGAATTCTTGTGCCCCACAAGAACCAGGGGCCAGCAGACATAGGAAGCAGAGTAAGATTTGGGCTAAGATTTGAGTAAGAGAGCATGAGGAAAGAGAGTTTCTGGGAAGGAATGTCTGACCAACCAGGTATGTCTCTAAGAGACACTGTCATGTTTTTTCTCCTTACTTAAAAAAGCTGGAATACTTTGGGGATGTTCTGGGCAGTGAGGCGGTGGTAGAGAGGAATTGGTATAAACAAAGAAGACTGATGGCAGCAAGTATCTGGCAAGGTAGTGTTAGGCTGAATCTAATAAAAAGAACAGCATAGATATCTTAGAGCTTTCTGCCAAGCCATAACAGTGAATTTTCTTGGAATATGCTGTAATCTTCCCTGAATCCACAGGCATTTCAGGTGCAGGACAGCAACTTTCTCCCTAGTTTTCTCTGAGTCTGGGAAGAGTCACCAAATTTTCCAAGCTGATACTTTATAGTTTTTCCCTTCTTTGTTTCAGTCCTTCTTGTAAAACTCATTTCCTTAATCCCTGGTAAAGTCTGATAAGCAGAGAGGTGAGTCCTTCTTGCTGCTTGACATGGGACATTTAGTTCTCCGATGTCCAGACAGCAAGTTTCAGCTGGTGACACTGAATTTTCCCAGCAGAAAATCAAACCCAGCCCAGGGTGGTCAGACTGACAGTAAATAATTGCTAAAGGGTTGCATGAATAGTCAAGCATAGATGGACATCTTTTGCACGTAATCCTTTAATCCAAGGAAATAAGACAACAATATCACAAGTACAGCACATAAACGAGTATGTTCTTTTCTACATATACTTGTAAGGTATGTACAGGCATGTATTTGGAGAGAAAAGGAGGGAGAGGGCAAGAGTAAACACACCTGTGGAAAGCCAAATAAGGCAAGATAGGAACTACAAAGCCCAGTCAGGCTCATGATGGCTGGTGGCACAGCAATTGCATCCCAGCCAAGGCTCCCAGGGGCTTGAAGGCAACTTCAGCAGAAGGACCAGCCTTCAGACTTCCATTAAAAGTCACTCACCCCAAAGCACTAACGTATAATGAAGTCATTGCTCCAGCAAAAACCACCTGAGATGCAGGGCACTGATATAATGGGGTACCTTCTCAAGGAGCTGCAGATGGTGGCTGGCTGTTCCCAGCCCTCTTTTCCCTGTTTCACTTCCCACAGGGATCACCTCTGCTGTCACTCTGTTGCCTGCAGGCAAACTTGGACAGCACAGACTGCAGCCACTCAGTTGGTCCCACATGGCTCTGATTTCCAGTTCTGCACAAGCCACAGCCACCAGGCCTGGAAGGCAATTACAAAGTCTCTCAAATGCTGCCAGTTACAAGGCAGCGTTCTGCTGAGAGTGTGGCCTGGTACTGATCACTACAGGCTCTAAGCCCAGCCTTTTTTTTATTTTGCTTCAATTACAGGGCCTTGAAAGCATCTTGTGTTTTCAGTTGCGATTGTCATCACACTTCAATGCAGCATGTGCCATGGCACGTGTGTGAGCACAGCTGGGTTTCTATACAAAACCAAAGATATTTTGCTCTACAGGCCTGTGCATACAGTCCCCACAATCTGCTAACAGCCAAATGTGTTGGGCTACCATTTCCAGTGGAGGATCAAAGAGTATATTTAAATGTTTCTAATTCAACATCCAAGTAACTACAGAAAGTCACAGGCAATGGGGGTGGCACGGGAGTGGAGGAAATGAGGTGTTAGAAGAGCATCTTTGCTGGGTGCACATGTGCAGATTTGGCTGCACGTGTTCTCTTGCCGGCTGTGGGACTCACTGTTAGGGTACTGCAGCCAGACAGAGGGGTGTTCTCCTGAGCAGAATAACCCTCTATTCCTGCCATGGGCCCTGGGGCCAAGCCACACACAGGAGAGCTCATGCTGCCTGGCTGGAGAGTAGCAGGACTCCCAGATGCCAGAGACTGAAATGGTTGATAGCTTAAACATTGCTAAGATCACCAAAAGACTTTTGTCCATTGTAGTAAACTCCAAAGAAACAGCTGCTCATCTACCTCCCTGAATATGCCTACGGATTTGGGCTGCAAAAGGACCTTGAGATAAGGTGGTACTATTGTCCAGCTATGCAGGTCACAGGAGAATGTATCCAAAAGTGTAAGAGATTGAATTGCTAACATTTGACCTCCTACAGTGACTGCCCAGGTGCTGCAAGAGATTGGTGCTCATGGCTCAAACAATCTGGGTGCTTGGCTCCTGATGCACAGCATGGTCCCCAGGTGCAGAAGGGCAGCCACACCTGAGGTTACAAACTGGGTTTCAAGATAAGAGGATGATAAGAGGCAGATCCTGCTAGGTGGGATAGTCCTTCTTATCATTCCAGCGCCCTCCCTTACATGATGACTGAGATGTGAAAATCCTCCTGGGAGCACCAAGGACATTCACACATAGCCTGAGCTATTCATCCCGGATGATGGACCATAACGAGTCCGTGATTGATTCAACTAGTGTGAGAGACAGCTGCAAGGTCTTAGGAGGTGTCCAAGATTCATTCAGTGTTCCTGATCCAGTATTACATCATCCAGGCGAGGTACCGGGGGCGTTTCCACCTAGCCCCTGAACAATATAAGCCCCATGAAAGGAGACTTTTGTGGATTTTCTTTTCCTATCACTTAATGTGTACAGTCTGCAACCACTGAGAAGACCAATAGGATGCCATCAGAATCTACAGAGTTGTGATGTCTTTTTTCTACTTGATCTGTTTCTCTGTCACTCCCTTTGCCTTCTCCTTACCTCTCTGTACCACACATTTACTTTTAAATAAAATCCTTACTATTGACTTCAACACATGGTTTACATCTTAATCCAGTCAGAGTCATCTCACAATTTAAAAAATCCTACTGTAATACCAGGAAAGGGCAATTCATCTCCAAAGGACATAATCTCTAAAATCCACCTGCAGCACTCACATGCAGGCAGGGTGGGCAACCCCTGAACCTGCCACGCCTCTTCGTGCCCCCACACAAGTGTGGGCAGGTTTGTCTGTGTGGTGACCTGCCCTGGCTGGGGACTAGTTTGGGCCTAGGCAATGAAAGAGAAGAATATTTCTCATCGTATGGTGAGAATAACCACTCCTTTCTATGTGGTTTCTCCCCATTCAATCCAAAAAAGTTTGGCAGAAGCCAGAAAGGCTCAAGGCAGAGTAGCAATCTGCCATTTAGGGAAGAGAGGCTGGAAGCTTTTTTTATGCTCATCTCTCAATCTTTCCTTTTTATGGCTTTGTAGCAGGAGAAGGAAAATCTGCTTCCCTTCAGGTAAACAACAACAGATAAACACCTGGAAACAATGACTGGAGCAGATCAAAAAAGCATTACATAGAACAGCCTAGAAATAGCTCCATGTCTGTCCCTGCCCAGCAAGTATGCTACATGGGGAGGTAATAATGCTAAACATTAGCCATTTGTTGTGTTATCCTTCCTTTCACTTCTATAGAACAAAGCATATGCAATGACTGACACCTTGACTGATGTGTTGATTTTTTATAATACCTTAAAGATTGTATTAAAATGACTGCATACCACAGCAAAATCTATGGTATGTATTTACTGTTGTAACTTATCTAAAAGCCTAAAGATTAATCAAACTCCCCAAATTCTAGTGTGTCAGAGTGGCACATTTCAGTGGTCCAGTGCTGACTGGTCCTGACCCCAGCTCTAGCTGCAGGTGTGTCCTGCAGAAGGGGATTTTGGCTCCTGGGTTATTGAGGTGTTTTGGTGCAGGTGCTGACCTGGAACAAAACTGCTGCAGGTTGAGCACCACCACCAAAGCTGGAACAGGCAGTCTAGCATGGGGACAGCCACAGTGCAGGGAAGCTGTGGCTGGGGTTATCCTTGCTGTTATCCACTATCAGCCCTCAATGGATGTGGCTACTCCTGAGCAGGGCTGTTCACCTCTGGTGTTCTTGAAAAGATTTAATGTGCTAAAAGATTTAATGTCCCTGGTTTAGCTGAGCACACAGCACTGCCTTAACTTGGATTTTACTTTGTTCATGCTATGCCTGTGATGGTCTTTAAAAAAGTCTTATTTTTTGATGCATGTGCACAACAGAAATTTGCCAGGTCAGAAAGGATTTACTTTCATCTTTCTTTAATATCTTTTGAAAACAAAATGTATCTCTTCTCATCTAGGGTTAACCTCATGTTATGTAATAGCCCTGTTTCCTGGTAGTGATGCAGAACAATGAAGAGTGGTGTGGAATAATTTTTTCCATTCCAGAGTTATAAGCTGATTTCATTGTTGGTAGAAGATACAGGACTGTAACAATTATCATAACTTTAACCACTTTTCCACACTCTGGATTTTCCTCTGATCTAGGATATGCCTAGCTGGGAAGTTACAGCTAGCTACTGTGCCTGTCAGTCTGTATTCCAGCAAACAAGTTGTACCAAATTTATGGTGTCCTGGTAAATGATACTTTTTGCTCACAAAATAGGGTATTAACATCAGTGAAAAGTTCAAACTCACCCCTTTTTGTCCAGGTAGCAGAACTCGACCAGAAGCTAGAAAGGGAGTTAGAAGTTGGTTAGTCACTGAAATGTTGCAGCTTTCTCTCCTAAGCACACCACTAGGTGTAAGTAGGTGAGCGATATCTTCTCATGTTCATTCTGACTTACTAACAGTTTGAATTAAATAATCAGAAGTACCTGAAATTGACACTGAAGAGCTGGTGGCAGTCTGTAGGTG